GGGGTTTAAGGTTTTAGGGTTTTGGGATCTGACATGTAAGGTATAGGGATTAGAGTTTAGGGGTGTTGGGCTTTTAGGGTTTGGGGATCTAAGATGTAGGACCTGTTTGTTCCAGGCATTGTTAAGTTTTAGAATTTAGGGTTGAGGGCTCGGCTTAAGCTTCTCGCAAAAGACGGAGGCAAGGCTGTAACAGGCTTTCTGTGTGATTCGATTCGGACCCGATGGGTGGTGATAAAGATTCTCTTGGCTGTGCAACGCAAAATCCGCCGACAAGCATGGTAAAAGTAGCAACGGAAGGCATGGGCATTGGGCGTCCTGTCTTGTGGCCTGTCCAGTCTCTTTTATTTGACAGGCAAGAAGCTCCCATGCGAAAAGACAGGCACATGCTGCGCCTGCCAACGCGCTCCAGCCCTCGCGATCTCCCACAGCAAGAGTGGCCTGGCGCCGATATCCGATCCGGGCGACCACGGCGGGAACAACAAACAAAAAAAGGATGCTTCAGACAAGGACTTGTGCCCATAAACGCAGTGTTCCGAGAGGGCTTAGGATCTCCGACAAGACAAACAAGCTCCCAACGTCCCTAGCCAAATTCAGAAAGCTATCCCAGACTCGGGAACGCTAGACCCCAAAATACTAAACCCCAACCTTTAGACCTTCGACCCCGCAAACTCCCCAAAACTCTACACCCAAAGCCCCTCACAGCCCAGGTCCCATTTTGAAACCACGGCCCCTGGAACCATAAGAAACCAGGCCGGAACTGCGTAATTGAGGACCTGGGCCTCGTGCTTGCGGGGCTTTCGGGTCCGACGGAAGTTGCTACGATGTAGGGTTTCATAGAGGTTTAGGGTTCAGGGTGTAGGGAAACAAGGGGTTTGGGGTAACGGTTTTAGGTCAAGTTCAGGATGTGGGTTTAAGGTGAGCTTAGGACATGATGCTGAGGGTCTGTGTAGCTCAGATGAGTCGAGCACAGTGTGATGTGTTCTGAACGATGGACAGGCTGGCCCCACTAGGTAATCAAAGCTACTCTACGATTCTACACTACTTGCACGAAACACCTGTCTACATGCATGGATGCATGCATGAAGGCATACAGTTCCGCGTGCATGCCTGCATGAACGGTACGTGTATGCAAGTCAACAACTGATAAATGTCTACATGCATGCATACATACATGCATACTGCATATGTGCAGGCATGCTGCATGCCTGCATGCATTCATATGTGCATGCGTGCGTGCATCATGTGAATGCATATGCGTGACTACATGTAGGTGTAAAAACAGAGCATGTCAGAGAAGCTTTAGAACACCTTTGTGCATGTACTGTACCGTGTAAAGCTGTGAATCACGACTAGCTTCGGGTGAAGTGCGGGGGAATGCTCGTCGCGATCGGGAGTTTTCGACGTTGACACAGGGTTCAGAGCTGGTCTTTAATGTAAGGCCAAGGCTTGAGGGGAGGAACAGCGTTTGTACCTGGTGACTAATTTTGCTAGACCGCGGGGTCCCAACAACTCGGAAACCATGGTCACACCAGCCCTGTTCAAGAGAAGTCGGTCCCCTCCAGCCGGGGTGCGGATGCCAGCGCTGCCCGAAGGCGAAGCTCCGGAAACGGCAGCGCCTGCTATGCCAAGCGTGCATCCCAGCAATAAAAACCTTTAGGGTTTAGGGTTTAGGACATCACTTTTGCTCTGACGCACCCGAAGCCCTCATCCGCGAACCCCCAAAAAAGGTACACCTTCAATCCGCAACCAACTGGCAAAGCACCTTAGGGGAGAAGTACGGCGGCTCGAAGTCCTCCGAAGGATGCTCCAGTCTCTAGCAGCTCCCATGGCCCGAGTTTCAGCATTTAATGCGTTGCGCTTACAATTTTGAACTTTTGGGGTGGAGTCTCTGCAGCGTAGATTGCTAGCGATGCCGCAGGATTTACGACACCTGAAGCCACAAATTTTTCCTGACGGTCACAGGCACAGGGACACACCGGAAGCCTAAACTTCAAACCGCAAACTGCCGAGAGCGCCGCTGACCANNTGGGCGCTCGAGGCTCCGACCGAGGTGCCCGGCCGAGCGTCTCGACAAAGTGGTGAGGGAGGGCAAAGCGCGAGGACTGTAGTGACGCCGCCTCACTCATGACTTCTCTGCCGTTAAGCAATAAAGACAAACCCAATCCCTCGGTTTTGGTCTTGGCCAGTTCCAACGCAAAATGCAGATTTCCGAGCCTCCAGCGGCTTGTTCGCGGTTTTTCTACGCCCTTTGTTGGGGGGTGCTGTGAAATGCGCAGTTTACGCAGAACTGCGAGTGGAAGCAGAGAGCAA